GCGTCCTCGACAAAGGCCTCCAACCTCCTGAAGCGCCAGCGCTCCTTCCACGCGATGGCAGGCAAGACCTCCCCTGGGTTGAAGCGCCCCACATGTACTGCGTAACCCGCCGGACTGGCGTCGGAGCAATGCACGGTCGTAGAGGTGTTGAGCCGAAAGTGATGGCGGACGATGAGCACCAGCCCGGCCGCCACCTTGAGCTCAGAGGCAACGTCAGCGGACAACCTGCCCGCGCGGCCGTCGAACTCTCCCATCCACCGCCAGCACTCGTGCAAGCAGCTCATGAAGGGCGGGAACAAAAGGAAGTGGTTGACGACGTGGCCTATCAGCCGTCTGAGTTGGCGTTCTGATATCTGAGGCAGACGCAGGGCCGAGTGAAGAGCGAAATGCAACCGCCAGGTCCTTTCAGACTTGTGAGTAACAATCGGCCAAGCGCCGCCCGTGATGAGCAACCCAAGCTGGGTCACTACCTTCTCGGCCTGCACCTCATCCCGCCAGACAAAACCCCTTCGCCTCAACTCGTCCAGAAGGCCGGCAAACGCCTCGAGCGCGTCGCGGCGGTCCCAGCAGATAAGGAACGCATTGTCGACGTAAGGTGCCAGCGCGGGCAAGCCAGGCTGAAGCACGGGCACAGGCATGCGATCACGAAGAATCCTCGCATCGATCCTGTCACGATCGGGCTCCGCCAGACGCGTCATCTCAGCGACGACCTGAACATCTGTCAACGCGGAGTGGCAGAAAAACAAAGACCACGACCACCCCATTGGGATGACCTTCGCGCAGACCCACAGCGACTCGTGCCCGTCCACGTCGACCCAGCGCTCAAGGTCGTCGTCGTGCACACGCTTGACCTCGTAGTCAGCCGCGACGATCTTGTGGGGGAGGCAGAAGTAGCCCGCCACCTCCTCGAACTCGAACTGGAAGAACCCGCCCGCGAGGTCCGCGCCCGAGAAGTGAACGTCGAGGGGGCGGCCGCGCAGCGTGTGCTCGTCCACCATGGCCTCGCCCTCTCTCAAGGACATGGGGCCAAGTGCCGCCGCTGTAGCCAACTGGCTGATGGGCGGCTCTTTGCGCAGCACGTTCGCCGGCCGACAGTCTAAGACCAGGCGGAGGTGATAGCCATCCTTCTTGATCACCGTGAATGCACCCACGAAACATCGAGCCCGACGGCGAAATGACAACATGCCAGCCGCGTGCAACTTCCGAGTGAGCGCCTCCATGTGACGAGGCTGCCGAAGGACGGGATCTAAATAAGGTTTGATTGGATTGTCTCGAGCGGCGGCGCATTCATCAGCAGGCGCCCTGAAGATCCAAGAACGAAGATCCTCCGCCATAGGCCGGGCGTCGGGCCCGACGACTGCCGCCAGAGGCTTAGGGTGAACACCTCTGTCTTTGACAACTCTGACCCGCTCCGTATCGAAGGGCCTACGGGTCGCATCGTCAGTCGCGAAGTCGTAGATGTCCAGAGCACGAAGAACGCTTCTGAGAGCGCCCCTCCTTTCAGGTCCAAAAGAGCGGCCCAAGGTCATCGAGCCGCTCCCTCAGCCGAGCCCCCACGGCGCGCTGCAGCGCAGTAGGAACAGATGCGTGTCCACATGGCCGAAGACGATGTCCAGCCCGGGCCGTCGCCATCGCGTTCAGAGCGCCCACGGTCTCCGTCAGACGCCGATCGCAAGCCGCCGACCTCTTGGCCGCGAGCCCATCAACAGGAGCAGATCGCCTCCCACACCCAAAGGGGAGCGGGAAGACGCCCCTCGCCGTCCGCGCCAGGTCGTCGCCGACGCGAGGGGCAGGCAGCACGACGTCATGATCGCGACCGTCACCGCCTGGGGCCGTTCTCCGCATGGAAAAAAAAAGAGGAACGGGGGGCGTCGCGGCCAACGGCGCGCCCCCGGAGCCGCAGGGGGGTCACCCCCCCGACGACGACGCGCCAGCGCCGCCGTCGCCTTTCTTGTCCTTGTTATCGTTATTGTCCTTCTGCCTCTTGCGGTCCGCGTCGTGCTCTTCCTTCGGGAGCCTCTCCGACTTCATGATGATCGCCTGAGTCTTGCGACGCTCCGCCATCTCGGCATCGAACTTGGAAATGGCCACGCCACCGCTGGTGTCGACGGCGTGCGACATGTAGGCCTCCAACCCGTCAAAATCTGGATTCCGAGGGTTCTTCTTCGCCGCCCGCTGGATCATCAGGGCGCGCCTCGCAATCATCTCAGCTGACGCTGAGTTGGGCAAGTTGATCTGGTCAAACACCACCATCATGTGCAGCATACTCATCAGATGGTAGTGCTGCAGCGCCACGGCGGTCCTCTCGCCCACCGTGCTGCTGCGCACCCAGTAGTTGTGGCATGTCCCGAACTCGTAACCCGCGGCCGAAACACCGCGGGCGAGCTCGAGCACAGCCCTCGAATTCTCGAAGGGGAAACCATCGGCATGCACGGCCTGCTTCATGGTCCGCACGGCGTCCTTCAACGTCATGGAGCGGAAACCCGTGGTCGGATCCAGGCTCAGCGGCAGCAGCCTCGAGTCCCGACTCTCACCGCGCAGCTTCTCCTGCATCCACTTGTTCTTGTCGGCCGGCCTGACTCTCTCCGCTGCGGTCCACTCCTCACCTCTCTTGACCAACGAGACGGCGGCGCGATGAACTGAAAGCTCGGGGCCACCCTGGATCGCGTCATCCACCCCCTCACCGAAGAAGCGGGTCGACGGATCGGAGTAGACCAGAACCGTAGCACCACTGGAGCAGCCCCTGCGCCGCCCAAGATCTCAGCCAAAGCCCTCGCTTCAGCACGAATGCGGGCTAGGTCAAGGGCAGCAATGGGATTGTCAAAGGCGTAGACGTTGAGGCCCTGCGGAAAAGGCGCATTGCGCGCAAGCGGAAGCAGGCCCCGCACAGCAGCACGGCCGGCGACGTCGATCGCCCTCTCCGAAAAGTCGGGCGTAGACCAGATCCACCTCGAGCCATCGGGCTTGACGAGAAGAATGCGATGGTGATACGGGATTCCATCATCTGGATAATGTGCCAGTATCTGACGCTCAGGAATGTCCAGACTCATGCTCGCGCAAGCTCAGCACGAAGCCTGCGGCTCGAAGGAGTCTCCACGTCCTGCGCGGCGAGCGCGGGCGGGAGCACGAAGCGGCTCTCCGCCCCTGCGGCTCCGGAAGCCGCCTGCTGGCAGCAGCGGCGCCAAGAGAGGAGGTAGATCGTGAGGCCCGCGACCAAACCAACTAGCACGCCCAGCGTGAACAGTCGCACTCCATGGTAGAAGCACGATTCGTTTGGTTCCCGCTGGGGAACCTCGCAAGGGGCACACGAAGGCGAGGCCTTTGGAAACTTCTTCACCAACACCTCAATGAGGTCCTCCAGCCTCTGCAGCCGACGACCACTCACCGAAGGCGCCTCACGCGGCGCGACAGGCGGGCGCGTCAACGCGGGGCACTCCGCGCAACGAGGGCACTCCGGTATGACAGGGAGTGCCGGGCAGACTAGGTCGGGACAGCCAGGGCAGACAGGGCTAGTTTGGCGACCCCAATCGTAGAAATGTCCTTCGTGCAACAGTGCGTTCAGCAGGGGCGCAATCCCAGCTGCAACGACCATCACGCGTCTGAGCCAACAGGACTGCGGCGCAAGCATTACCCACGTTGCCCCCCTCCCCCTTTGGGTGGCGGGAAAAGGGAAACAAAGTTACTGGGCATATATATATATATATCCTAACGCTGGACCAGAGAGAGCGATGCAAAGAGAGGCGAGCTCATCTGTTTTATCTGTCGAACGGCTGTGGATGCTCCCGGGAGACATGTCATCACTCTGGCCCCCGTCAAGAGACAGCATAAAACAAATTGTTGAAACCAACTGGTGGAGGAGAGAAGAGAATGGAGGAGCCAAAACGGCAATGGAAGGTCCGTGTTAGAGGGGTTTCGCCCTCTGCGGCTCGGACGCTTTGGCAGGAAAACCGTTCTGAGAACCAACGATCCTAACGCTGGACCAGAAAGAGCGATGCAAAGAGACGCGAGCTCATCTGTTTCATTTGTCGAACGGCTGCGGATGCTCCCGGGAGACATGTCATCGCTCTGGCCCATGCCCATTGTATGACCTGGGCCGTCATGCTACAAGTTCCCTTAGGTGCTGGAGCCCCCGCGACTCTCGAGAAGTGACGACCCACTGAACTAACAGCTTGGCGAGGGGGAGCGGGTAGGGCTCAGCGATCTTCGCCCAGTGGATGTTAGAGCGGGGCTGCCGACCACGAAGATGAATGTGAGGCAACTTCGACCAGCAGCGCACTTAGACTAGAGGATCCTCCGATCTCATGGGGATGCATTTTCGCTCGGGCCCTGGCGGCGGCAGCGCCACCCACCAGCCGACATATCGTGTTCTCTTTTGCCAACGCATACCGAACATGCAGAAATCACAGATAATCTCACGGCCCTTGGCAGTAGCTGAGACATCGAAGGTTCAGACCAAGCAAGGGACATGCGTGGGTTCTCTGCGACGAGGGGAACTCCAAAGCGGATGCATCGGCGGAAAGTACTGATCATGAAGTCAAACGTGCCATTACCTTCTCGAAGCTGTTCGGCATCACGCCCAGACAGCCCAAACACCCCGCGAGGGTGCGATCGAGTCCTCAAAGGTAGTCGTCTAGCCCGAGACCAGGTGGTACACGGAAACCCTCCGATGGCCCCGCGGATCTGCTTGCTCCTAATCCACCCGAAGACAACCTGCTGCAATGCGCGGTTAGTAACTCCGAACTCGGCACCGCGCTTCAAGTCGAATCTGATGCAACCAACGCCTCCGACGCTCTCAGAATATCTGGCTGCGCGGCCCGAACCAGAGAAAAGGTCCAGATATACAATTGCCGAGCCAGCTTGCTGCATAGCACGTCGGAGGTGTGAATGAAGCCGAGAACGAATCTGCCCTGAAGTCGTCAGCGCGGCACTCGCGCGCGCTGCAGCTGAGAGGCGGGGAGCTTTAGGGGCGCCCGCCCGCCCCGGAGGCAGGCAGCCAGGTCCTGGTTGATGGAGGTGCCGTAGCGGTGCACGGCGAGGGCCAGCTCGATGGCTTTGCTGGCGACCCGCACGTGCTGGCTGTAGCGACTCACGCTGGCGTTGGACTTCCAGCGCTCTTGGCGCTTGATATGCTCGAATGTCTGGCGCTTTGTGAGACTGTCGTAGCTGGCTCTTCTGTGGCGAAGGCAGTGTGGGTGTGGGCGGAACATCGACACGCCGCTGAGCTCCGCCAGGGTCCCGGCGTGCTCCGAGAGCAGCAGCTGGTCGAAGGTCCAGAGCATGCCCTGGCTGGCTTTGTGCTTCAGCTCGAAAAACCTGGGCCCCAGCTGCTTCTCTGCATCCTGATCCAGCGCCACGTTCTCGTTGAACTCGTCGGTCTTGCTCCCGACATTCCCCTCTGCGGGCGACGGAAGCAGCATCCAGTGCCGTGTCGCCGAGCACGCCGCAGGGGCCACCAGCAGCGGCCCCTTCAGCTTGACCAGCTGCGAGGGTTTGGGGCAGCCGAGGGAGCAGATCAAGAGTGCGAGGGCAACGCTTCTGAGGCTTTGGCAACCCTTCCTGAGCCGTAGGTACCTGTACTCCAGCGCTGCAAGCAGCTTCGAGGCCGCCGAGTGGTTCTCGCCCTCGGAATCTGGGTACTCCCAGTTGCCCATCAGGTAGGCGACCAGTTCCCCGGTCCTCCGCTCGCAGATGACGATCCCCGCCCAGCGCTCGAAGGTGGCCAGGTAGGCGTCGTAAAGGTCCGCGGTCGCGCCGCGGACCGAGCAGACTTCCAGGAAGGTGGCGCCCTGCTCTCTGCACAGCTGGGCGCTCTCGAGGTGGGCGGCCCGCCGCTGCTGCCGCCGGCGCCCCCAAGCCGGCGCGCCGTATGCCGTGGCCATGTCCGTTGGCAGCGGCTCGGCCGGCCGGGCCTGGCTCCGAGCGGCCGGGGCAGGCGGCCCCGGCCGCGCCCCGCCTCCTGGCCTCCTGGTCGACAGCATGTCGGAGCGCCGAGAGAGCGGCGCCCCCTGCCGAGGTGGGTCTGCGCCTCTCAACGTCGCGGAGGTCTGGACGTTCCCGAGCTGGCCCGCGATCCTTGAGCCTAGACCCGAGGACAGCGAAATTGACTTCCGATGGGGCCCAGCGATAGAAGAACTTAGACCCTGCGGCGATCGACAGTGCTCCTGACTCTCTGCACGTCTGATTCAACTCTGGATTAGCTGCACGACCCTTCGACTGAGCGAGGACAAGTGATAGATTGTCGCCGTCGCCCAGAACGAGATGATCCTGACCGTGATTTTCAGCACAACGAAGCACGTGGCGGACTCCCACGATCGCACTACGCCCCTCGAGACGGAGGATGCGCTCCTCAGCGCCCCAGCGCCCACGCACGCGCAGCTGCCAATCATCCTGGCGTCCTGCGAGGCCGAAGGGGGTCTCCTCGAAGAGGTGCCCGCCGATGGGCAGGCCCGCCTCCGGGGTCGCGTGGTCGTCGATCCCCCCTTCGAGGAGCTGGTCATCGCCGCGAGCTCGTACGCCTCCAGCGCGTGGCGGCGAGCGTCAATGGCGTCATCCACCAAGTGGCGCCAGCCCTCGGCGATCCTGCAAGCGCGGCTGACATCCGCGACAGGGGCCTCCCGCTGCACCACGGCGAAGCCGCCAAAGTCGCTGCCGTCCTCCCCAGTCGACGCGTCGGTGGCGGTCACAATGGGGCTGCAGGACCTGCGCGCGTCAGTGAAGGCGAAAACGATCAAGGAGCACATCATGCGGAGCTCGGTCTTCACGGAGCCCCACAGCTTCCATCTGGCGTCGCCGGCCTCCTCGATGAAGCGGTAGCAGGCGCGCGGCAAAGCCAACAACTCCCTTCGCATGACAGCAGCCCACGGAAAGTGGGCGACCAGCAATTGGAGCTCCCTCCCCATCATGCGGCCAAGTCCCAGCGCGCGCAAGCAGGCCAAAAGAACCCGCCACAGGCGCTTGGATGTGACCGAGATGCTGCCAGAGTCGGAGTCGAGCAGAAGACCTGTGAACTCCTGGCGGCCTCCAGCGGGCTCGACACCCTTGCAGGCCAGCCCTGCGCGCTCCAAGGCCACCAAGGCGTCGTGGGCCTTGAGGTCGACGCTGGGCTTTTCCTGTCCGAAGACGCCGACGTTGCCCACGTAGACGGCCGCCCTCGTGGCATCTGACTCCAGCTCGCGGAAGTTCGGGCTCGCACGCTTGTCCAGCAACATGTCGGACTCCGTGAAACCCGCCGACGTCGCCGCCGTGCTCGCCATCTCCTGGCAGAAGTAAAGTGACCACGGCCAGCCCATAGCGAGAACACAGAGTCGGGGAGTGGCCCTTTTACCCGACAGGCCACGGGCTGCGACCGGGTTCAGGGCGCGCAGCGACTCCACGTCGACCGGCGGCAACCTGACAAAAACCTGCTGAGGCCTGGCGGGGTCCTCACTCTGAAGAAGGCGCTGTTGACGTCCATCTTAGCAAGATACGCCGGGGCGTCGGCCCGGGCGCGCACCGCTGCCC